GCAGACAACCTGTGCTGGAGGTGGTTGTGCTTGCCTGCTCCCCACCCCGCCAGCAGCCATAAGCTTCTGGAGGACGGGTAATATTTTGGATTAGATGTTGGGATCTCCAGTAACTGGTACAGTGCCTGGTACAGTAATTGGTACAGGCACCCCATAAATACTTGCTAAACTTTTAGTGGACAGGGAATTTTCTTTTTTTTTCAAAGATTTATTTATTTATACAAGAACCAGGATACAGGCCAGATTCGCAGGAGGGTGAGAGGATTCACCAGAGACAGCGGGGAACAATATAGGCAGACTGAAGAAATACACTACTGAGGGGAGCAGCAGGTGAGACAGGAGGGGTCTGCCATGCCATGTGGGACCCTCACCGGCCTGCCGGGATCAAACCAGCTCTTCAGAGACTGTGGACAGCTTCACAGCGCGTTGCTCAACCGCCTGCGCCACCAGGGGAGGCCCTTAGTGAACAGGGAATTTTTTTTGCCCTGCTGGAGTCACTATATATAAATGTGTGTGTGTGTGTGCATGTCATGCACAAGTTTTATGTCCTTAGGCATGTTACTTCTCTTGGCTTCAGATTCCAAGAGAAAATAATAGGAAACCCCCTGCCCCCACCGCTGTAGGACAGCTGGAGAAAATGAGAGAATGCACTCAAGTGCTCAGGAACACTCCTGACTCCCATAAAGATAAATGAAGATAATGATGACAGTAATAATGCCATTATTTCATTTTATGCCAATACACTATATTCTCTTAACCCTAGACTCTCTAGCAAAAGTTAAAAATAAGCAGGCTTACTTGACTCAACAGAAGATAACCCCCGCTGCTGCACGTCTGCTGTGTTTCCATGCACAAGCCAAAGAGGTCCTCCAGCCACACAGCCTGAGAAGTGCTGGTTCTGACTCTTGCTTCGGAGGGGCTGGCAAATGGAGGCTGGAGACCATGGCGACAGGACAGCTTGAAGGGCCCCCGCAACATCGGTGGCTGAGTGTGAGGCTGCGTGCAGCATTGCCGAAATCTGGGTAGAAAGCAAGTGGTTTTCAGGTCCGAGGAAAAATCAGCTCCATGCTTATTTGTAGTTTCCTGCAACAACTGCCATTTCCTCCCCTCTCCTGGGTGAAAGTTGAATGGATTTGATTCTAAAACTGCCAGAATCACAATCAGCACCTGTCTGTATGATGAGCGCTAGGAAGGAGTCTTGAGGCCTGGGCAGTACAGGGTGAAGCTTGCTGGACCATCCAGGCACTTTGGGGCTGGCAGGGCAACTAGGGGGGCAGAGCCCCACCACTGGACTCACGGCCCTTCCAGCACCCCTCACCTGCCCACTGTTGGTCAGCACCTGGCCCCTGGCCCAGCCCACTGACCCCTCTAGGGCCTGGCCTTCCCACAGCCCAGCAAGCCAGACCAATAATAAGGTGCAGAGTGCTTTCAGCTGGCAGCTCATGCAGCTCGTGCAGGCAGGGTCAGCAGGGCAGCGAGAAAGGAGAGCAAGTGGATCAGGTGGAGGAGGGGGAAGGAGAAATTGATGGAAGGCAACAGAGGGTGCTTTTGAGCGAAATCTCCCCTATCAGCCCCTGTTCCTTGGAGACTTTCCATTTAGTCAAAACAGAAATTTGGTTCCAAGGGAGCACAGGAAACTTGTGGCTGTCAAAGAAGAAAAAAAAAATAAAGTAACTTTCCCATCGCTCTCTCCTCTCTCTCTCCCCCACCACTGCCAGATAAAATTTCATTCCAAGTGCTTCTCAGTATGGAGCAGGCTGATGGCCCCGATGACTAGCTGCTGTTTCCAAAGGAAACGCTCCGTCTGTGTGATGCCATTAACATGGAAAACCAAGGTCACGCTGCTTGCACCCAAGGGAGGCTGTGCTGCTTTTCACACACCTGGCTGGGGGCATGGCTTTGCAGGCTGAGCCACTGTGGTCCTTGGAGTCCTATTCTGGGTTGGTTATTGCACCCCGTGGAGAGCAGCCGTGGGAACCTGCAGCAGGAGCGCTCTGGGTTAGACCAGAGAGATAGCTTCAACCAGAAGGATCATAAGACCCTGGAGCCTTCTTGGGGAATAGAAGTGGTTGGGGTAAGAGGAAAGGTATGATCCCTGGACTCTTTCAGACCTGCTATTGAGTCTTGGTTCACCAAGTGGTCTGCCCCAATGTGTGGTTGGGGATAATCACCCAACATGGAAAGGGTGGTGGAGAATAATTCTGGCTAAACACTGCAGCTCGAATACACATGTTCGTCCTTGAAACCTCTCTCAAATGGGAGGCAATGAAGAACAAATGGAATGGAAGATGTGACCACAGAAGACGAGAAACATAAAGCTCATGTCATGAAAGGAAAACCAGTAGAGGAGGAAAAAGTATCTCAGCAAAAGGGCACATTGTGGGGGACAGAGGAAAGATGAAGAGAGGCAACCCTAGGAAATCAGAGCACCTCTGAAATGGCAGTACCAAGTGCTGTGCACAGCAAGTGGGAAGCTTGCAGCAATTGCTTGGTGTAGGGTAAGGTAAAAGTATCAGGCTTTTCTGCCCTCCCGCCATTAGGATAGATGAGGGAACCCTGTGGTCCTGAGTGCATGCCTGATGGTGGGCACTTGGAGTGGGTACAGCTGGGCTGAGAGACTGAGTTTATAAGGGCGGCATCATGGGGACGCCAGCAGAAGCCAATAATGAACGTAAGCCGAGTGAGGAAGAGAAGCAGAGAGAACGCCAGAGAGCCCAGATAGAGTGAGGATTTGCTGGGGGCTGGGAGGCCTGCCAGCCTCCCGCCCCCCAGCACCCCTGCCTGCCACATGCCTGGTAAATCTAAATAAAAGACCTGCAAAAGCCACTGAGGGCTCTGACTCCTCCTTTACCCGGTCTGCTTGATCAGAAAACCTACCCTGTGTCATTCCTGGAAATCCTGAAAAAACGATCAAACCCCAAGACCTCCTCCCCACACAGCAAGGCAACTGCCTCTCCCAAGAGGGCAGAGCAGAGGTCAGGGATTGAGTAGAATTCTGCACATACTCCTAGCTCTTCAACCCATGCCTCGTCCCTAGAACTGGATTGCTGGAAGCCAGGTATTCGCCTCCCAGGCAAGAGGTTACAGGATGCCCTGGAAAACTGAGGGGACCTTGAGAAGTCCACAGATGTTGGCATTTGGGGAGCCCCCAAAGCAAACTCCAGCTCACGGTCTAATCACCCTAGACTCCAGGACCCAATTAAGTAAAACCCAACAATCAAAAAGCCCCACTGTAAAACATAAATTCCAACCAGTGTTTCTTACATTATGAAGTGTAGTGTACATAAAAGAGCACATGCAACGTGCATACACAGTTAAAGTAATCATATTAAAAACACCTGTATGTTCCATTAGCCTTAGGACTTTGAGCCCTGTATGTGTTCCTGCCCTATTGTATCCTTCTCCATCTCAAAGCAACCACGATGCTGAATTTTGTTTTAATCATTTTCTTTGCTTTTCTTTGTAATGTTACCACACATGTATATATCTCTAAGCAATATATTGTTTAGTTTTGCCTGCTTTTGAACTTTACATAAATGGTGTCATACTACATTTATTCTATAATTTGCTTTGTTTGCCCAACACTGTATTTTGAGGTTCATCCACATTGAAATGTGTATGAAAATTTGTTCTTTTCATTGAAGTCTAGAATTACATTGTGTGAAAATCCTGTAATTTATGTCTCCATTCTCTCTTGGGTGCATTTTTGGTTGTTTCTAAGCTGTGTTTACTGGGGATAGTGATGTCTTGGGCGATGTCACACAAGTCACCTACTACGTCTGTGCCAGGGATGCTTTAGCGTATATGCATGAAGGAGGACTTGCTGGGACACAAATAATGTAGCACAGTTCCCATGGAGGATTTGACCACCATCCGCTCCACCCAGATGTATGAGAATTTCCTGAGTTCCACATTCTCACTAACATTTGGTATTGTCAGTTTAATTGTCGCCAATCTGGAGGATGTGAAATATGTTATTTGGTTTTAATTATCCTGATTATTAATGAGGTTGCACATAATTTCAGATATTTATAGAGCATATATATATATATATATATATATATATATATAATCTGTTTAGTAAAACATGTATGCATTTTATTTGTTTACTACTTGAAGAGGATTGCCAGTCATTTTCTTACAGTTCTTTATATATTCCAAATACTAATCTTTTCTTGGTTTCATGAGTTGAAAATATCTTCTCCCCTTTATTGACTCCTAGTTTGGGTGTATTTTGAGAAATACAAGTTCTACAATCAGTTTTATCATGCTTTCCATTATAGATGGTGCTTTTGTCTTTTAGAAAGAAATGATAAAGAAAAATATCTTTATGACTTGAATAGAGAAGAATTTGTTAACATTTTAAATTTTGGCATTTCACACTCATTCTAGATGCAACTAGAATTAGATTTATGCTTAAATTTTATTTTTGATATGCAACATAGAAAATGATGTTGAGAATCATTCTTTGAAAAGTTTTCTCTTTTCTATTCATCTGCCTGTCATACATTGCCTAATAATAATGTGTGGGATGCCCTTAGAAGAATGGCTACACACACAGAATGACTACACCACAGTCCCCTGTGGAGCAAATCATGAAAAGATGCTTAATTATAGCAATGCTGTAAGTAGGTACTATTGTTGTTCATCATTTTACAGATGCAGAAGCTGTGGTGGCATACTTAGTAAGTTGTGATCCTGGCTGCAGAACCAGCACTCTTAGTCTCTGCACCTGTGCACCCAACACACCAGCTGCATGAGGCCATTGAGTACCTGAAAAGACACTAATGTGCCAGAGGAGCTGAAATGAGATGTGCTGTGAGATGTGCTAATGAGATGTGTTAAATATATACTGGATTTCAAAAATTTAATCCAAAAAATATTAAATAGCTCTTCAATAATTTTATATTTATTGCATAGTGAAATAATATTTTTGTTATGGTGGGTTAAATAAACATATTACTAAAATTAATTTCATCTGCTTCTTTTTCTTTTTGCAGTGTGACTGCTAGACTTAGAATTACATATGTGGCTGGGCCTTCCCGGTGATGCAGCGGGTTGAGCGCCCTGCTATGAAGCTGTCTGCAGCCTCCGCTGTGCAGGTTCGATTCCCGACTTGCCAGGGAGAAACCCACATGCAAAGCAGACCTCTCCTGTCTCGCCCACTGCTCCCTTCAGCAGAGTTTTCAGTCTGTCTGCCTGTTCTGCTCCCCGCACTGTCTCTGGTGAAATTTCTCACTCTCCCGCATCTCTGACCTGTACCCCAGTTCTTGTATAAATAAATCAATCTTTAAAAAAAATTACATATCTGGCTTATATTATATCTCTACATGGACAGCACTGTTCTATAAGTCTACTGCTTCTCCAAGCTTTCATATATGTGTGGGCATATCTAGGGACTTCATTAATCTAATCGAGTAGATAGCATGTTTTTGGTGCAGGGTTAAAAACAAAAATTAGGACCTCCCCTGGTGGCACAGCAGTTGAGCGCTGGGCTGCGAAGCTGCCCACAGCCTCTACAGCGCCAGTTCAATCCCCGGCCACTGGCCAGAGTCCCACATGGTGTGCAGACCTCTCCTGCCGCCCGCTGCTCCCCTCAGCAGTGTACTTTGGTCCTTCTGCCTGCTCTGCTCCCCGCTCTGGCTCTGGTGAATTCTCTCACCCTCCGGTGCTTCTGACTGTACCCAGTGCTTTATAAATAAATAAATAAATGTTTAAAAATACCAAACAAACAAAAAAATTAATGGCAAAGATTTTTGGAAGAACAACTTTTATCACCTGGTTCTTCTGCATCTGAAGTGCCTCACTCTTCTTGGACCTTTGCTGTTTCATGTAAGTCTTAGAATAAGCTTCTTGGGTTCCACTGAAAACCCATTTGTTGTTTTTTTTTTTTAATTAGGTTAAATAAATTGACCATTTTGGGGAGAATTGACATCTTCACAATATCAAATCTCCTTATCCATGAATATGGTATGCCACTCTAATTATTTTGGTCTTATCAGATTTCAGAAAAGTTTAATTATTCTCTCCCTAATGACTTTGCATTGCTTTTTTTTTTTAAGCAAAGCTTTTTTTAAATTTATTTTTTATATATTTTTTTACAGCATTGTTCATTTTTAAACAATGTTTGCTTCCCCCCACCCCAGGTGTAGTTCACATAGAGTTTCCTTCACCAGTGCACCCATGCACCATCATCACAGTCCCCTGTGCTCCTCCCTCCCTCCCTCTGATCCCTCTCCCTCCTCCTCCCCTGCAGGATGTCTCTGGTGTATAATTGTCTGTTCGTTTTGCTTTGTTGTGTTTTTTATTGCATTAATTTTGGTTAGATTTTTTCCTAGGTATCTTAGAGGAGTTTGTTGCTATTGCATAAATTATATGGTAGTCTTAACTGCATTTTCTAATTATTTATTACTATATGTAAAAGGGCACTTGTCTTTTCATATTGCTATTATAATCAGGAATCTTGCTAAATTTATTTATTTCTGAAGTTTTCTGTTCAGTAGTGACTCTCCTTAAGGAACAGCAGTATTCAGTTGTAGGAAAAGAAATCTCTATCAAACTCACTCCTGAATATAAATAATCAAGAATCACCAAATATTTAAAGCTCACTAAAATGAAATAGAATAGATCAAACAATATAAAATGAAAATTATAAGTAAAAGAAAGTAACAGAAGAAAATAAAGAAAAATAATATTTCCAGAAAGGAAAGAGGTTTCTTCTTCCAGTTGCATTCATGAAATAAAAATAATTTTCTATTATGAAAAATCCAAACATAAAAAAAGTCATTGGAAATTGCAGATATAGCTAAATATAAAATTCAGAAGAAAGATTGAAAAATAAAGACAATGGAACCTCCCTAGAAAACAGAGGGACAGGGAAAGGATAGACTTATTAGATAATCAATCTAGGAGTTTTATCATCATTGCCTAATAGAGGTGAGCCATTAGAAATAGCAGAATGGTGTTTAGAACCATGTAGAGGACTGCTAAGCAGCAAAACTGCCTGCTTTTGGGAAGTGGGATGACCTTGGTCAGAGGGATGAAAGGGGGTTATTGCTTATGGCTATTGTGCTATTTGACTTTTAAGATTGTGTGTATGTATATGTATATATATATATATATATATATATATACTTAAATAGAATGCAAAATTAATCTTTATTTTTAAAAAGGACATAAGACTTGGTGCACTGATAGTGCTCAAAAAATATATAAGCTGTTTACTCTTCCTAAAATGCTACGATATATCTAAAACATGTTTATCATTGAACTTTTGTTGCTCCAATATGCAAAACTTGAGATAAGGATTTGCATGTATGTGGTTTATTTGGGGGAAATGACCCCCAGAGTTCAGAAAAGGAGAATGTGGAAGAACAAAACAGGAAAAGAGAAAAGCTAAATCGAGGGTGGTTTTGAGTTGTTTATGCTTCTGTGCATAAATGGAGCTCAGTCCTGTTGAAGATCCCCCAAGGAACAATGCGCCTTAGAAGTGTCTGAAACCTCAAGAGATGAGCAGTTATCCTCTCACTTCTGACCCCCACTGATCAAGGCTTCCCTACAAGCATTAACGAACACATCAGATTGACTGATCAGGCTCACATTGGCTTCCTGCACTACAGCAGGGAAGCTAGTGTCAGAAGGTAGATTAGTGGTGAAGTTGGGGTAAGGCATGGTCATACCATACCTGCACATGGTTATTTAGTGAAACCATGGCCATCACAGGAATATAGGCAGAAAGTATATGAGCTAGAAAATGGAAGATAACCAACATGGATGGCAAGATGAATGCATACTTAAATATTCCAAGCTACCTTCTGTTTACCCTCCAAATAGGTAGCATAGCTGCACTTTCTCCTCTATTCCCCAAATCCAAAACAGCCCTTGGTGAACATAAATACTTTCCCCTTCTACCTTAGTCCAGTCCTGTTTTTAAATGCCCACCAGCTCCAAGGCTGTTGGCATCCAGGACAGTACTGCAGGTGGCAGGAGCCACATCTGTACTTGTTCTCTGTCTAGCACCCACCATGACTCTGTGGAGTGATCATTATTCAACAAAACCTTTGGGCCTGGACATGGAGGAGGTAATGGTGACCAGACTGGGGCATATGAATCTCTTGGCCACTGCTTCATCCATTCTGATGTGTATATATAAACAGGCTTCTCTTTGCATCATCAATTTCTACCAGTCAACCCTGAAAAAGTGTTTGGAAGAAGGGGACTTACCACCATCTGTTGAGCTCAATTTTCCAGACCCTCCCTTTTCCTGAGACCACAAATAGGAGATTTGGCTGTAAAAGTACCTTGGAGGAACCAAAGTTCTTGCACAATGCAGAGGTTCTCAGGAAGCACTGATGGGAAGAATATGGTAGACTTATTCTCTCTTACACACAAGGTGCCAAATAAACATCTGATTAGAAGCTGAAAGAATGAAGTCTTCAATCGTTTTCCCTCTCACAGGAAAAATGCTAATGAGATTAAAACCTTTTTAAGGGAAGGATGATGTATAGGGAGGTAGGGGTGGAGAATTTGAGCGTCTAACCCAGAGGCTCTGAAAGGATAGTTCCTGCACCAGCACCCCAGCTTCATATGGAAACATTTAGAAACACAGAATCTTGGGCCCCACCCAGATTTACTGAATCAGAAAGAATCAGTGGGAAGAACCCAGTTTGAACAAGCACTCCAAGTATTCTGATACACATTAAAGTTTGAAAAGCAATGCTCTAAAGTTATCTGGTTCCCTTTTTTTTGTAGATGAGAAAATCAAGGGTAGAAAAGAGAAACAAAACAGTCAAAGCTACACATCCAGGGAACAGTGGGCCTCAGAAAGGGAGCTTGACTGTTTTACTGCCTTTTATGTGGTCTTCTGTCTACTGATCCAGGCCCACACAAGCTCTCCCTGTACCATGTTCTTACACCAGCCAGCTTGTATGCAACTGATCGAGTCAGTTTGTTAGTACAGGTAGCTAATAACCCAGGTCATAGATTTGATCCCCAACTGGAATCACTTTCCTTTCTCATTCCATCAGAGCACACTTCCTCTACCCTAAGAAGTGACCCCACAAATGCATTTCCTTGTTGACAGAAGAATCGGTGAAAAAGTAAGGAAGGCTTCTTGAAAATTCCAGCACTTCTATTGGGGAAATAATAGAAAACATGTGCCATGACACCACCTCTGTGCTGGCAGGGCCACACTGTGTGCATCCTGCCTGGAGAGTCTCCTGCCTGTCAGGCCAGGGGACCATCATCCAGTTACCTAGATCTGGCACTCAGAGGTGGGCCAGAGAGGCTTTACTCATTGCCAATCTATCTCCTACTCATGCTTCAAGCCCAAGGTTCCTTGTTCTGAGGTTTCATGCCTCAGTAACATTTCCAAAAATTTTGGAGGACTAATATGTGATTGCTCCTTCTATTTTATTAAATAAAGACATGAACTCAGAAAAAACTACAGTCATTATGCTCATCACCACCTAATTGCACCATCAGTGTACACAAGGCACCAAAAGCCTATAACATCTCAGAAAAAAGACGATGTTGTCTAAAAAATGTGACTTCATACACCCATACTGCGCTGCCCACACTTTTCTCGTTTCTCTTCTTACCTGTAAAAAATTTAGACGAGGATGGCATGTATCTAACAGAGCAGACCTGGAGAACCATTTTTCTTTTAAGTCAAATGTCCTTGCTGAGGCCCCGCTCTGGACTCAGCAGCACCCTGTGGCTACTCAAGATGCCACTTCTCGGGCCTCCCTGGTGGTGCAGCAGTTGAGCGCTGGCCTGCGAAGCTGCCCGCAGCCTCTGCAGCGCCAGTTCGATCCCCGGCCACCGGTGAGGGTCCCACATGGCGCGCAGACCTCTCCTGTTGCGCCCACTGCTCCCCTCAGCAGTGTATTTCATCACTCTGCCTGTTCTGTTCCCCACTCTGGCTTTGGTGAATCCTCTCACCCTCCCGCGCTTCCGACTGTATCCAGTGCTTGAATGAATGAATGAATAAATAAATAAATTGTTTTAAAAAAAAAAAAAAGATGCCACTTCTCATTGTCATTTATAGTTATCTGCTTAGGAGGATGTTTCTCCCACTCTGTTCTAAGTGTAGAAAATAGGAATTGAAATTATTTAAATATCTGAGTTTGTTCTTTGGAAACTGGCCGATGAAAAGGAAGGAACAGTGAAAAGATGGAGAAAGGGAAAAAGATAGAAAAGAAAGAAATAGGAAGGAGGGAGGGAGGGAGGGAGGGAGGGAGGGAGGGTCTGAAGGGAAGCTGCACTCCTT